CAGTGCAGAACTTCATTCAAAGTTATTCTGCACAACTCCAGGCCTTGCTTCAGCACCATCACTGCCTGAGCTGCTCGTTTTGCTGTGGCCTAACACACACCCTCAACAGCTCAGGAAGTCACCAGCCAGCTCCTTCCTAGAGCAGCATTCTCATCTCCCCAAAGATCAGATCACAGAGTCTACCTTGAACACATCTTCCACACAGCTGCTGAGTTCTGCCTCTGTCACCAGCACTGTCCCAGCTGACAAATCTTCCTCTGCTATTTCTGAAACAAAGAGGAGAAAAATAAGCACCTTCATATACTGCAGTCTTTAACAAAATGTCAGCCCCTTGATGCCCTGTACCAAAAAGCCCACAGATAATCCAGAAGAAAACAGTTAAAAGCATGGGAAAAAATAAGCCCTGTTAGCCGTGCTAAATATCAGTGTGCTGTTGTAAACTCTGCAAGGTTACAATCAAATCAAAACAGACCAAAAAATCCTGATGGACTATTCCTTAGAGAACTGCTTGGCCAGTGTGGGGAACTGATGGCTTCCATCCAGAAGACCAGAACGACACTGCCAGAATGGAAGAGACTCTCAGAAAGATGGTAGAAGCCCCACTGTTTGACCTTACACTAACATGAGTTCAGTGCTAGTGAATATGGTGCACACAGCCACCTAAACATACCCATAACCAACAGACCTGGGCCTGCACCCTCAGTAGCCAAATCACCAACACGTGAGAGAATTCTGACAGAAAAACAAAGACCAGTGGAAAGAGAAATCCGATCCTTCCCTGTTCCAGGGCTCAACGTGTCCCCTTGCCAGCTGTTACCTGCTGCGTCCGAGCAGCGGAGAAGTGGTGTCAGCAGAGGCTGGAGCAAATGCTTCTCTGCCAGCTGAGGGTGCTCTTTCACCATGGTGAGCAGTGTCGTGGTGGCCACCTTCTGGAACTGCCGAGCTGTCAGTTTGTCCTGGATGTGCAGTAAGTCCAGAATCTGAAAGGAAACCCCGCAGTACCAGAACAAAACTTAGCAGTTGATTCCATGCAGCTAATGGCAGAGACCGAGGAGCCCCTGCAGTGCTGCTTTACTGGACATTGGGCACAACACTCCCCACACAGAGGAGCAGCTCTCTGTCTTATGCACAGGAGGGTGACCTGAGCCTACACCACACCCACAGCCAAAGCTCTCCAGCAGAAAGCTCCTTGAAATGCAGTGCTGAATAGCTCATGTGATCAGGCAAGGTTGCTCAGTATTTCAGTAATACATAGAAAACTCATGAGCAGGGTAAAAACACATCCCACTGGGAGAGCAGAAGGAAAACAGCTCTGCACTGGAGCAGCCAGGCTCCAGTCAGGTGATGTTCAAGTACTGACAGCACAGATACTGCGCTGAGAGCACTCCCACTTTACATTCACAGGCAGTCAGCATGCTGTGTGGAGAGCAGAGGGCAGCGCCTACCTGGGGGCACACGTGTTTGTAGTAATCCTCCAGGGAAAGGCACTGCTGAGGGCAGGAAGCCAGGATCTTTGCAACCGCATCACATTTTCTCCAGTCCACAGCTGCTGTTTCAGCATCAGTGCCACCTGCCCCACTCACAGAAAGACAAGATCAGCTCAGCCCGACTGCAAACAGCAGGGCCATTTTTGGCTGAAGTCAAACGGTTCTGGCCAAAAAATGGCCTTTTAGTTTTTATTAACCTCCTCAAACCACCTATCAGGAAACACCTGGGCTGAATGAGGGAAAAGGGAAAACTATTGTCCAAGGCCTTTGACACTGGAAAACAATGTCCATAAATGTCCAGGTGTATGAGAAAGAAAACAGAGGGAGGCTGTGCTTACATAGTTCATGCTGCAGGAGTTTAACAGAATAGCCACATTTAGAAGCAGAATCTGAGCATTACAGAAGCCAGTATGGCCTAACAAAAGCATTCCCCATTTCAGTACATCCCATGGGATGAATTGTCTCAGACACGTCTTTTAAGAGTCTTTTAATCTGCAACCCCAGAAACGAAGAGCAGCACCCAAGCACCCAACTCACCGCCAGTGCCCTCCATGATACCCCGAACCACAGCCTGAAGCCCATTGGGTCTCATCAGCCGTTCTGAGAGCAGCTGGCCACAAAGGCGACGCAGCCATGCTGGAGACCGAGCAAGGGCTGGCTTTGTTTCTCCCCCAGCAGGGCGACTCTGAAAGGAAACAAAGGAGCAAGCTGAAGGGGGAATTCTCTCCAGTACACATTTGTGGGCAAACCCTCACTAACAAGCAAAGCAGCCTGCATCCTGCCCCAGAGGACTTGATACCACGTAGGAGCAGAGGTTGGAGAAACATTTAAAATCACTTCATCCAGGGGCACAAAGTAAATTAAGGCTTAATGAGAGAGACCAACCTTCCTGGGAGCATCCTGTCATGGAGAGCTTCCCTCCTTTAATTAAAATCTCTTAGGATCAGGCAGCAGCTCTGTCTCATTACTGACACAGGGGCTCAGGGGATGAGTCACATTCAGTGTACATAAGGGGACAGAAGTGGTGAGTCCCTCTCCTTGGCTGCCCTGGCTGCAACCCAGCTAACATTGCCCATATTCTACTCCCCACTGCTAAGAGGCAGTCTCTGAAAGGGCCACAGACAGCAGCAGGAGCCAAGGCAGCAGACAGCTCTGCTTCACCAGAACTGCTGCAAACCTTCCAGGTGCAGGAGTGCCTAAATTGACCCCGCACCTTGCTATCTGCAGGTAGCAGCCTGCTGCATCCTAGCACAAGGTTGAGCAGCTGCCCCAAACAGAACAAGAGGTAACAGCCATAAGTTGCACCAGGAGATGGTTCTGCTGCCTGGTACCTGCTTGGGGCCGCCCTGCAGGATGAGCAGCTCCCGCACGGCCAGAGGCTGATAGACACGGTCCAGAATGTGCTGCAGGGTCTCCCGGCTCTCTGCTCGCTCTGCTTCTGAAAGGCCCTGGAAAAACACAAACCCTGAAGCGGTGAGGGCAGCCTAGCTGTGAGACTGCACCTCCACACACCCAGCGCCCAGCTCCCACGTTGTACGTGCAACAGCTTTGATCTGTTCTTTCACACTGAGACACACACGGCTCACAAGCAGCTGCCAGGAACAGCACTAAACAGGAACTCTGGGCATCCCCAAACTCCGACTGCTCCAGAACCACAATCCCAGGCCCGCGGGGACACATCCGCACGAAGGAGCGGAAGGACGGGGACCACCGACCTCGCAGTGCACGGCGGGGCCGTGGCCCAGCAGGCAAAGGCCGGCGAGGAGCGGGCCGAGGTGCTGAGCGAGCAGCGGGGCGCCGAGCGCGGGGTGCCGGGCCAGCTCCACCAGCGCGGCGGTGGCGGCACGGAGCCGGGCCCCTCGGGCGGCCCCCGGCGACAGTGGCGGTGCGGGGAGCCCCGGCCGCCGCCCCACGCCCGGCGGCAGGTACGGGGCCAACCCCAGCCCCACCGCGGCCCGCAGCGCCCGCCGCACCGCCTGGCCCTGCGCCGCGCTCAGCGTGTCGGCGGCAGGCGGCGGGGCGGCCCCGGGAGCGGACGCGGGGGCGACGGGGGCGGCGGACAGCGCCTCGAGCCGTTCCTTCAGACACAGAAGCAGCGCCAGCACCGCGCACGCCACGGCCCACGCCGGCTCGGCCTCGTCCTCTGCCCCGGCTGCCAGCGCGGGGGCCCGGCCCAGCACAGCGGCCCGCAAGCCGCGCAGCGCGGCCCAGCCGGGCTCCCCCCGCAGCCGCTCCTCCAACGCCGCCGCGTTGTCGCGCAGCGCCTCCAGCCGCAGGGGAACGCCATCCGGCCCGGGCCCCGTGGGCCGCCCCAGCAGCAGCTCCAGGGCCTCCACCACCCGGCTCGGCTCCACTGCGCCACCCGCCATCTTAGAACCGACGCCGAGGGGCGGGGCGCGGCCTGCCGCCGCCATCTTGGGGAGGTCGGGCGGGGGGGGCGGGGCTATGCCGCACGCCGCCATCTTGGAGGGCAACGGGAGGGAGAGACGCGTCGCCTGCCGCCATCTTGGGCAGGTCGGGGTGGGCGGCGCCATCTTGGGTCCAGGCTGCCTCCTGCTATCCACGTGCGGGCTTCCCCAGCGCGGGTACCGCCACCGCTCGTGGTTTGCTGCGGAGAAGCAGGTTGGGCACGGGATGCCGCCGTCCCCCAGCCCTACACAGCCTCCTTCCACCTAGCCCAGCACCACCCTGAGGCTCGGGTGAGGGTTGGCAGTTCGTTGTCTGTCCCTGCTTTCCAGTCCCGCGTTGCACGGGTCCAATAGCGCTCAGCACTGCGGCAAAGCAGGTGTTTCAGGAAAGCTCCCGCCTGTCAGGTGTTACCTGCGGGTACGGGAGAGGGATAACCCACACTGGAGCTGCCCCATCTCAGCAGCAGCCTTGTTGTGGTCAGCGTGTGGAGGAGGAGGACTGCGAGGTGAGCAGTGTTCCCACGGCTGCAGCCAAACGCTCGCTGCCTTTGGAGTAAACAGATAAGGCGTACATTGCAGAGCACACAGTTCAGCCTGGATAGGGCTGTAACCAGGATGGCTGTGAATCCTCAGCTTGCCTCCTGGGTGGCTGTGTGACTAAAGGCATGCAGGCCCTGGGCAGCGAGCAGAGCCGTTACAGGCTTGGGCAAACATCAGAGATAGCATCCTTGGCTGTGCTGCAGTCCCATGCGGGTCAGTGGGGCACAGCGTTATGCACAGGGTGCAGCTCCTGTGATAAAGCACTTTGGTGCAAGTCCAGTTTTCACACAGTCTGCTGCTCCTCCCTTCCCTGGGACCTGTCCAGGCAGCAGAGTAAAACCTTGACTGCTTTTAGATACTGCTGTGCTTCTCAGCTCTGTGCTAAGAAAACATGTGCTCTGATACGAATCCGTCTCCTCCTGAGCAGGGTTGCTATAAAGAGCAGGGCTGCAGAAAGCATTTCATTTCTCTTTGGCACTTTGGAGGCAGCAGCAGCCACAGCCACTCCAAGGAAGCGCCATGGGGCAGCGCTGCCGGCAGAGGTTCGCACAGAGAACAGAGCTGCTGGTTTTCTTACAATTTATTCTTTCAATTTTATATAAAAATCATTCCATCAATTAACACTTAGACAATCGCTGGCCTTCCAGCGTGCATCGGGCCCTTTTCCCATATTAAAAATACAAAACAACAGCTAGACATGGAGTTCAGAGTTTAAGTAAAGCCACTTGATTTCAGAAAGCACCTCTCATTAACAGAACAATAATTACAAACGACACAGATGGAAATAACATCATCACCTGTTATACAAAAAAATAGAAATCTGACCGTAAGTACTCTTATCAAATATAATTCTCTCGTGTATGATGCAAAGGGAATGGCACGTCATTGGTCTGTGTGATTGATCACCCACCCTGCACTGCACACGCACGAGCAGCTTCACACAAAGGCCATCCCAAACCCTGAGCGTGGCGGTGACATCGGGGTTGGGAGCACGAGGTATTACAGAGAGTGCTGGAGAAACCCCTTCCTCTGTAACAAAGGGAGAGAGGCAGCGGGGGCCTCTTTCCTTGCAGGGGGAGGGATGCTGAGCACCAGCCGTGCGGTGAGGGCTGTGGGATTCAGGCACTGGGAGCTGACCCAGGAGCACCGCTCCTCCAGGCCAGGGAGCGCCTGCCACCAGCCTGTTCCCAAGGAGCTCTAAATGGGACTGTGTGGGGCTGAGGGGGCAGGAAAAGCGTGGGCTCCCCAAAAGCCTCCAGCCCCGGTGACCCTGAGCTTTCCCTGCACCGAAGGGGAGGGATGCGAGTGACGGATCCAATGCTGTTGGAAGGGGCTTTGGCTGCAAGAGCCAGTGCATGTCCGAGGGGGTGAAATGGCAAGAGCCATGCGGTGGGCCAGCCAAGGGGACGAGGTCTGCCTAGTCGTCGTCCTCCCCGCCGCCATAGAGCTCCGCCAGCTTCTTGAAGCGGTTGCCCCACTCGTTGAGGTAGTCGTAGTCCTGGTCCTGGTCGGAGGCGGAGGAGTTGAGGGAGCTGAGCGAGGTGGCCTCCGAGCCGCCGCCCTCGTAGTCGAACACCAGCAGCGAGTCGTAGGGGGGGGCCGTGGGGTCCGTGTCGGCTGCCTTCAGATTCTGGAGGGGGTCAGAGGAAAGGGCTCACCCACTGCTCCCCCCGGCCTCAGCCCTACGGGATGGCAGCGCTGCGGGGCAGCCCAGCAGAGCAGCTCGGCCGGCTGGGGCTCACCTCGTCGATGAAGTTTCCGATCTCATCGGGGTTGGCGGGCCGGGGCCGGTACTGGGGGGCGGCCATCAGCGGGGGGGCCACATCATTGCGGATCACCTCGGGACGGGCGTCCAGGCCGCGGTGCAGCTGGCTCAGGTCGTAGTCCTGTGTGGGGACGGAGCAGAGAGCATGAGAGGACAGCAACGTGACGCTTGAGGGATGGCCGTAGGCACTGCTGCTGTGGGGCAGAATGAACCAGGGGCTTTGCAGGGGATTGAGAGCTCTGTGCATGGCAAAGATCCCTCATGGCTACGGCAGGACCCTGGAGGGCCATCTGCCATAGGGCAGTGCTGCGAGGATCCCACGGGCAGCGCTGTGACCCGGAACCCCGGTCCCACCTGGTCCTCCTCACCGCCACCCTCCTCATCGTAATTGTAGACATTGTCCCGCATGTCATCCTCGGGTGGCAGCAGCGGCTCCTTCTCCACTTTGCGTCGCCGGGCAAAGAGCAGCAGCAGCAGCAGCAGAACTGCGAGCAGAGGGCATGACATCAGGGCCGCGAGGGGAAAGCAGCACCATCCACATCCCCATCACACCATACTCACTCAGCAGGGCAAGGATGCCCCCCAGGATGCCCAGGATGGCAGGGACACCCAGCCCACCGACGATGTACGACCTCCGCTCGCAGTTCTTCGCTGTCCCTTCACACTCACACACCTGGGCTTTGACCTGCGTCACCTGTGCCTTGCCCTGGCTGTCCATCAGCTTCAGGAAGATGTTGTACTCACCCGGCTCCAGCTCCTTTTTCAGGCTTAGGGCCAGCTCATCTTGTGCAAGAGAGAGGAGATTGGGCTCAGAGATGTCCCCAGGTGTGAAGACACTATCAGGGCTCTGCCCCATGGCAGCTCCCCATTCATGCAAGCCAGCAGAAGCTTGCATGTGGTAGTGGCATTCGGAGTAGCACAGAAAGAAGTGGCTGGGATCGGCCCTTGCTCAGTGTTCCCTCATTGCCCTGCACCCCACAGCACCTACCTTGACCCCTTATCGCAACAGTCCAGTTGTTGCTGGAACCATGCTCCAGTGCTGCCTTGAAGGGGTAGGTATGTGGGGGCAGGTCCTTGTCAACAATGCTCAGCATCTGTTGCTCAGGCTGCCGGTTGCAGATCTCAAAGGACCGGGGCTCTGGTGTGGGGCCGTTGTCATTCACGTCCTGGAGGAGCAGCAGCAGTGTCCCCGTCCCGGTGGCATCCGGTATCCCTACAAAGCCGGACATTAGCGAGGTGGAGAGCCCACATCCCCAGAGCTTCCAGCTCTGCAGTGGGGGCACAGCCTCACCATTGTCCACAGCCAGGATGATAGCCTTGTATGTGCTGTTGATGGCGTGCACCGACTCGCGGTCCAGTGGCTGGGCAGCCGTGACGATGCCGTTCTCAGAGTCAATAGTCAGCCAGCCTGCCGGGTCGCTGCCCATGCGGTACCTGGGCAGAGGGAGCTGTCAGGGGGGTTCATGCCCACCCCATGCTCTCTCTCTGACAGCCAAGCCCCCACTTACGTGATTTTCTGCCTCACGTCCCTGTCAGGATCTTGGGCTGTGTAGGATGTAACCTCGTGCCCCACTGGTAGGTCCTCTGATACCCCCACCCTCTTGATAGGGGGCACAAAGATAGGGGGCTCATTCACGTCCGAGACGGTCACCAGGACGCTGGCAGTGGACAGTGTGATGGGCACGGACAGGGCCACTTTGTTCTCCACCGTCACCACCAGGTCGTAGCGGTTCTTGGTCTCATAATCCAGGCCCTGCAGGTTGGAGAGAGGGGTTAAGGTGGCAGTGGGGCTGGTGGGGACATGGCCCACACTGGAGCCATCGACAGTGAGGTGACCCACCTTGGCTGTCTTCAGGATGCCATTGTTGGTGCTGGGGTCAGTGATAATGCTGAAGGCACCATCCTGGTCTCCACTCTTGATGTGGTATACAGCTTGCCAGGCTGGGGAGCCTGGTGTGTCTTGGTCCGTCACGGTCAGCCTGGCCACCTCTATACCCGGCTTGTTCTCTTCTACCACCCCTTCGTACTGCAGAGAGGGCACAGGGATGGTCACATGTGGGCAGCCTGGGGAGGGCAGCAGCTGGTGAGAGCCAGCTAGGGTGAGGGAACACATACCATGGTAGGGTCGAAGATGGGAATGTTGTCGTTGGCATCCGTGACCTCAATGACGGCCGTGGCGGTGTTGGACAGGCCCTTGCCCTCCTGGTCCGTGGCCTGGACAATCAGCGTGTAGTTGGGAGTGGTCTGCAAGATGAGGTCACGCCATCAGAGGCCCCGCGTCCCCACAGCGCGTCCCGCTCCCGCCGCCCCTCTGTGTGTGGGCTCTGTGCCTGCCGTGGGGCACGAGGAGAGCGCCCACCTCCCGGTCCAGCCCCGTGCCCAGCACGCTGATGATGCCCTTGGCCGGGTCGATGGTGAACATCTGGGGGTGCGGGCTGGGCGGCTGCTGGCTGACGATGGAGTAGCTGACGATGCCGTTGTCGGTGTTCACCGCGTCGTCCGCGTCCGTGGCGCTCACGGTCATCACGGAGGTGCCTGGGCAGAGCGAAGAGCCGGGCAGACGTCACTCGTGGGACGCGGCGCCGCCGCCTCCAGCGTCGCTGCATCCCAGGGCTCCCGGCCCCCCGCCCGCCCGCCAGCCCCCGCACCCGGCTTCGCGTTCTCCTCGATGTAGCCGATAAAGAGCTCCTTGATGAACACGGGCCTGTTGTCGTTCTGGTCCATCACCGTGATGATGATCTCCATGGGGTCCTCCACGGGCTGCCCGCTGGCCGACACGGCGTGGGAGAAGAGCTGCGGGGGCATCGTCAGCCCGCACGGCCCCGCACCGCCCGCCCGCCCCGCGGCCCCTGCAGCCCCCACTCACGGTGTAGCGATCGATCTTCTCCCGGTCCAGCTGCTCGGTCACCTCCAGCCACCCCGTCTCGCGCTCGATGACGAAGATGCCCACGGGCGGGCTGTCCGCGCCCTGCCCCGTGATGCTGTAGTACACCTTGGACTCCTTGTCCTTGTTGGATTTGATCTGGCGGCGAGGCGGGGCGGTGAGAGGGGACAGCCAGGGCCGGTGCCCATCCCGGTGATGCTGCGCTCAGCCCGGCGCGGGGCGGCTCAGCCCTCAGCCCCGTACCTGCACCAGCCTCATGGGGTAGGGCCCGCGGTGGTTCTCGAGGCAGCTGATGGGGGGGATGACCCAATCCCTCTTCTGCCTCCGGAGGAAGCTGGAGTTGTGCTTGGGGAAGCTCAGCACAGCCGGCGTCATGTCCTGCAGGAACAGCAGCTGGTTCTGGTGCCTGCTCAGCACAGAGCAGCCCAGAGGCACGTGCTGCTCTCAGCCCCAGAGGGCTGCACTGACTATGGGGATTTCACTTCACCTGCAGGTGGTGGCTGTGGTGGTGGTGGTTCCTCTGCCTGCCCACAGTCACCTGGGCTGAGTGCCTCTTGCCCATGGCGTCCCGTGCGTAGATGATGAAGCTGATCTCCCTCCCATGGAGCGTCAGTGGCTGTTTCGTTGAGACGACGCCATCCACGTTCACCTTGAAGCGTGTATCAGCCGGGACATACACGGCCCACGGCTGGCCGCCACAGGCTGCAAAGCTCACTGCAGGCAGAGGGAGAGCATGGGCACCCACCATGCACAGCGCATTCCCGTGCACACTGCATGCACAGGAAAGCCCGGGCACAGAGCATCCCTTCACACTGCACCATGAGCAGTGCAGCCTATGTGTGGCACGTTGTACAATCATAGAATTGTTCTGGTTGAGGAACACCACTGGGATCCTCAACCCACCCCACCACAACCATTAACTGCATCCCTGAGTGCCACATCTCCACAGTCGTTGAACACCTCCAGGGATGGTGACTCCACCACTCCCTGGGGAGCCGATGCCAACACATCACTGCTCTTCCAAAGAAATTTCTCCTAATACCCAACCTCAGCGTTACCCATCCTTGCCACATGGCATGGTGTGTCCATGCAGCACGTGTCCCAATGGCACCGCTGCTGCCCTGCCTGTGGCAGTGGGAGAGGGTGCTGTGCTGCTGCTCCGGTTGCTTTTCAAATCAAAACAAAGGCTTTGTCTGGCTCTGATACGCTGGCTCACGGCCACATCAGCAACCGACTGGAGCGTGAATCTGTGCGGTGGGGAAGGTGCACCCAAAGGCGTGTGACAGCAGTTGGAGCACCCCTGCTGCCCTGGCATCTGTGCAGAATCCATCCCCTCTGCCGTTTGGGGTTCTTTTGGGACAGATGGCACCCCGGTGTCACCCTGCTGGGTCACGGTGTGAGCTCCAGCACTGGCCACGCAGGTCTGGCACTGCTCAAGCAGGGACCGGCATGCCAGGGCTGAGGACAGCCTGAGGGGGGGACGATGCAGCTCTGCGGCAAGCATCAGCATCACATGAGCCATGGCCGCATGGCTGGAGCTGCCAGAACAAACGCTCCTTTGTCTGGGATGTTTTGTTTGAGCCCGCAGCACCCAGCCTGGGTCCCCTTGACCTGCGCACCCTCGGCTCCTGCACGGCTGTACAGCACACGGGGTACCGCCACGGCACAGCAGTGTGCCCAGGGTGGGAAGCACGGAGGTGGGCTCCCCAGGGGCGGCCGTCACTGCCGGGACCTGTCCCAGCGTCCCGTGTTACATCAGCCTGCAGGCAGCCCAGGAATTCAGAGACAACAGCAAGGGGGAGGTGATGGCAGAGCCGGGCTGGGGGCTGCTCGCTCACCTCCGAGCGCCGCTCCCCGCGGGGCGATGCCAATCCAGGCAGGACCCCCGGCCAGGCCGGGACAGCCGGTGGTGCCGGCTGTGCAGGGCTGTGCTGGGGCATGCCGGGCGCTCCCGCACCGTGGGCTCGCAGTGGGGAGGTGCCCCATCCCCGCGGGCACCTGGCACCCGGCCGGCGGGGTGCACCGTGCTCAGCACCCGGCCCCGCACCGACGCGGTGCAGCGAGCACACCGTGCTCAGCACCCGGCCCCGCACCACCGCTCAGCTCCCGCTCTCCCCCTCTGCTCCCGGCCGTGCACAACCTGTTTTTCCAGCTCCACACTTGAAAGCCAACCCCTCCCAGTCCCATTCTCCCCAGGGCACAGAGCCAGTGGGGCCTCGGCGGGGCGTGGGGTCGAGCTCAGGGGCTCCTGCTTTCATGGACCCTCAAATGCGTTTGGCCAAAATCAGTGAATTACTGGCTCAAAGCTGGGGCCGGGAGGTGAGCCTTCCACACTGGGCTGGGACCTGGGGACACTAAGCGACCTCCATTCTGCTGTGACACAGGAAAGTGTCTCACCCCCGGGCTGGGTGCAGGGTGAGTCACAGGCACAGCCAAGTGCCACCATCTCGAGACTCTTCCCTGTCCCCACGCAGGTTGTGCAAGTGGCTGTGCCGGGGCGGAAGCTGGTGGCAGGGGGAGGCACACGTCAGCCCGTGAGCAGCCGGGGTGAAAGTGCTGTGAGAACGCTGTGAGCCACACGTCCCGCCAGGGACTGACATCACCGAGTTTCACCGTGACTTCAGACTCTCGAGGTTTCTCCCATTTGGGGCTGATCCGGGATCTATGCAACTGGGGAGTGTCACATCTGGCTGCAAACCTGTGTTCCTCCCATAAAGTGCCATATCCACACAGCCGAGGGCTCCTTGAGAGCTCCTTCCTGCGATCTGCCATCCCAGCCCCTACCTTTGTGCAGTAAGTGAGGCTGAACACAGCCCAGGGATGCAAGGCAGGTGCTGTCCATCCTTCCCTTGTGGTGTGGGGCAGCAGCAGCCCCAGCACCCACTGGAAAGCATCATGCTGTGCAGCTTTTACAGCCTGCATTAACATGGAGGAAATTGCTCCTTCCTCCACTGAGCCCTTTCATCAGCCGGGCAGTTGCAGCGCCGCCGGGAAGCCCAGAGCTGCACCCAACCCGGCCCCTGGAGCACCCACTGATGTTCACCACCCCAGCGCCACTCGGGGCCAATCCAGACCTGTCTGACTGCAAACACAGTGCTCAGCTCATCGGATAATTACAGGGCAGCTCATCAGCCTGCCCGTGCTGTACCACAAATGGGGCTTTTCAAGGGCCGCGCGGCATGGAGGGCACGGCACGATGCTCTGGGGCCGGGCATTGCGGCAGCAGCGCTGGCACGCGTGGGCAGACTCAGACACCCTCCTCCCACACACGTCCTCTGTCACCGGCCCCAGACGGGAAGCGCTGGTGCTCAGCAGCCGGGGATTTCCAGCTGGGAGCCGACGCTGTGTGCTGGGGAAGTGCCGCTTGGCACGCAGCTGCTCGTCACCCTGGTGTCAGGCGCTGCCCCAATGGGCACAGCCTGCCGTGCTGCACAGCATTGGTAAATGATTAACCGACAGAAAGCTCAAACACGGAATGCATTCAGTACAGTGCAGGGTTCAGCTCCCAGTCCCGATACTCCCCAGCGTGGGTGAAACTCAGACTGGAGCACCTCAGCCACCCTTTCCAAGAACCACCGCGCACCCACGCACGGCTCCGCACCAGGGCAGGCGCTCGGTGCTGGGATGCGGGCTCAGTGCTGATGTGTGCTCGGTGCTGATGTGTGCTCAGTGCTGGGATGTGGGCTTGGTGCAGGCTCAGGGCCGGGCTCCATGCCCCACACCCAGCCTGCCGGCCCGAACAAGCCCGCTCTGCCTGAGTCAGCGCCGCCCGCCTCGGTGCTGCTGGGAGAGGCACCCGCTGCCCCCGCGCACCCTCGCCCCGGCACCTGCACCACCTGGCTGCTCGGGGAGCTGGGACACATAGGCACGGCTCTGTGTGCCCACAGCCACCAGCACTGAACTGGGCAGAGTGCAGCCGGCCCTGACCCCACGCAGGGCACACTTAACCATGGCTTTATTCCCCATGGCTACCCTCGGTGCCACGCACCCAGCCCACCCCCACAATCATATTTCTATGCCAACTTGCCACGCATTGAGCCTGTCCCATCAGGAACACCTTTGTCCTTGGTACCAGCCACCCTTGGTACCACGCACTGAGCTTGTCCCCACGTATCTCACCACCATCAGCATCGCACACCCAACCCATCCTCACAACCACAGCTCTGTCGCACCTCGTGGGCGCACAGCTCCGTACCCACAGCCCCAGCTGCCCCGCAGGGTCCTACCTCGTCCCAGCTCCTTGCCCGCCGCCACGCTGTCCCGGGGCACACTGAAGGTGAAGGTCTCTGCAGCAAAGCCGGGCTGGCAGGGGGCTGCCTCATCACACCGCCAGCCGCACACCTGCCCGAGAGAGGCGTCAGCCCTTTCCCCTTCTGTCCCCTCCTGCCCCCTCCGTCCCGCCCGGCGGCCCCGCACCTGGAGCAGCAGCAGCAGCACCAACACGGGGAAACGCTGCGGGGCGGTGGAACCCCACCGCCGCCCCATGGCTCAGGGACCGGGCCGGTACCGCTGCGGACGGAGCTGCCGAGCTCTGCCTCCACCGAGCGCAGGTGGGAGCGCCCCGCCCGCAGGTGTTGGCCCGCCGGGCCCGTCCCCGCCCCTCTCCGCCTCACCGGGGCCGCCCCGTCCCGCCCGCCCCGTCCCACGGCGCCTTCCACGGGCACGAGGCCCACGGGGGGATGAGGGGGCGGCGGGTTGGGTCCCTTTCCTCTTTCCTCCCTCCCTCCAGCTGTCGCCCCTTCTGCGAACTGCGGCGCTCCTTTCCGGCCCGGGACGAGCAGAGTCCCTCGGTGCCACCGTCGCCCCCGCGGCTGCAGGGGGGCAAAGTCCGCACAGCGGACGCCGGGGCTGCTCCTACGGAGCTGGGACAGCAGCTGAGCCCCGGCCGTGGCGCGGCAGCAGCACTGCTCGCTTCCTCCTAGGCACAGCGCTCAGCCGGCGTGGTTAATGCAGTGAAGTTGTTTAATGCACTTATTGCTGAGCGCCAAGCAGGCAGAGATCCCTGGGGACGGGCAGCCCTGCTCCCTGTGCTCCCCATCCCTGCACACAGGGGATCGGGCTGTGCCAGCCTGTGCTGCCATGGTACCCGGCTGAGGGGGGTCTGGCTCTGAGCCCCTGGAGCGCACGTTCCCCAGAATCACAGCACAGGAGAGAGGAAGATCTTAAAAAAGAAAAAAAAGGAAAGCCACGTCCTTTATTAAAACTTCTTTAAAACTTCTACAGATCCCAGCTCAGCCCACCAGTACCGTCTCACTACATTAAATTCATGTTTTCTTTAAAAAAAAAAAAAAAGTTGAAACACACAGGAGGAAGCCAAGGCTGCTTTGGGCAGCACAGGGAGTGCAGGAGAGGGGAGCATGGCCCCAAGGCACGGGCAGGGTAAGGCTTTGGGCAGCAGCAGCACTGGGGGGGTGGGGGCTATTCGTCGTCCTCCCCGCCGCCATAGAGCTCCGCCAGCTTCTTGAAGCGGTTGCCCCACTCGTTGAGGTAGTCGTAGTCCTGGTCCTGGTCGGAGGCAGAGGAGTTGAGGGAGCTGAGCGAGGTGGCCTCCGAGCCGCCGCCCTCATAGTCGAACACCAGCAGCGAGTCGTAGGGGGGGGCCGTGGGGTCCGTGTCGGCTGCCTTCAGGTTCTGGAGGAGTCAGAGGAAGAGCTCACCCACTGCTCCCCCCGGCCTCAGCCCTACGGGATGGCAGCGCTGCGGGGCAGCCCAGCAGAGCAGCTCGGCCGGCTGGGGCTCACCTCGTCGATGAAGTTTCCGATCTCATCGGGGTTGGCGGGCCGGGGCCGGTACTGGGGGGCGGCCATCAGCGGGGGGGCCACATCATTGCGGATCACCTCGGGACGGGCGTCCAGGCCGCGGTGCAGCTGGCTCAGGTCGTAGTCCTGTGTGGGGACGGAGCAGGATGAGGCTGACGCCCGGGGAGCACTGCAACTCCTCCCCACGACCTCGGGCCCGGCCCTCACCTGGTCCTCCTCACCCCCACCTTCCTCCCCGTAGTAGAAGATGTTGTCCCTCGTGTCATCCTCAGGCAGCAGCAGCGGCTCTTTCACCACCTTCCTCCTCCTCACCAGGAGAAGCAGCAGCAGTAACACGACTGCAGGAGAGGAGCTGCATCAGTGCTTCATCCCCATGCCGCATCCTTGGGTCCCTCCCACACCCCAGAGCAGGAGAGCACTCACGCAGCAGAGCCAGCACAGCGCCCAGCACGGCGAGCACGATGGGCACACCGGTATCCACCCGTGGCTTCTGGGCACAGCTCTCCACCCGGCCCTGGCAGTCGCACACTTGTGCCCTGATGACGGTGACCTGGTCCTTGCCCTGGCGGTCGAAGAGCCGCAGGTAGACGCTGTACAGGTTCTGCTCCAGGGGCTCCGTCAGCCACAAGGCAACAGTGTCACCTGCATGGGATAGGTGACAAGTTTCACTTCAACGCATTGGTTCATGTGGGACCAGGTGCACCACCACCTCGAGTCCCCACGTTACCTCCACTGCCAACCTCCACCGCCCAGCTGTCCCCAGAACCATGGCTCAGCTCAGCACGGAATGGCCCGGTGTTGGGGGGCAGGTCCCGGTCGGTGATGGTCAGCACCTGGGGCACGGGGCTGCGGTTACAGATGACGATGTCACGGGGCTCGGGCTCAGGGCCGTGGTCATTGACATCCAGCAGGGTGAGGAGCAGCGTGCCGGTGCCTGTGGCAGGTGGCAATCCTGCAGGGAGAAGCGGGGCCAGTAAGGGACACTGCAGTGGTACTCCCATGCTGGCAGAAGGCTTTATGGGCAACACAGGCACCACTCCCTGCCCTGGGGCTGAGCGGGACACAGCCCCCGTGACACCAGCAGCACATGTCCCTCATGTGGGCCTGCAGCCTGATGGGAACGTGGGAACAAGGGCCCCTTTCACAGCCGCCGCACTCACCGTCATCTACAGCCAGCAGCACAGCCATGTAGGTGCTGTTCTTGGTGAACGGGGACTCACGGTCCAGCTGCTCCCGTGCTGTGATGATGCCATTCTCAGGGTGCACAGCCAGCCAGCCCGCGGGGTCACTGCCCATCACGTACCTGTGGGCACAGCGGGTTGGTCCTGCGGGGCATGGCAACAGGGATCCATCTCCGACCCCAACCCGGCCCTGCTCACTTGATGCGCTGCTGCTGGGCTCTGTCAGGATCCTGGGCTGTATAGGAGGCGAGGGGCTGCCCCAGCGGCACATCCTCCGGCACCTGGGCCAGCCGCAGCGGCGGGTCAAAGGCGGGCGCCTCGTTCACATCCTCCACACTGACCGTCACTGTGGCCGTGGCTGTGGGCAGCTTGATGGCGAAGGGAGCTTCATTGACCACGGCCACATGGAGCACGAACTGCCGCTTGGCCTCGTAGTCCAGACCCTGTGGGAGGTGACAGGATGGGCAGCACCACCCAGGGCTGGTGGCTGTGGTACAGGGACAAGCAGGGGACACGCACCTTGGCCGTGCGCAGGACACCCTCATTGCTGGCAGGGTCAGTGGTGATGGTGAAGGCACCGCCCTCATTGCCACGCACGATGGAGTAGACTGCACGCCACGCTGCTGTCTGTGGCTCATCCAGGTCCGTGGTGGCCAACCGGGCCACCTCCAGCTCGGCCTCATTCTCTGGCACAGCCGCCTCATACTGTGGATTAGGAATGGTCAGCACGGAGCCCACAGCACCCGGCACACCCTGCCCACGTCACAGCCACGGTACCATTTTGGGCTCAAACTCAGGGGCGTTGTCATTGACATCCGTGATCTCAATCACAGCCAGTGCCGTCGTGGTCAGCCCCTGCCCGTCCAGGTCGGCCGCCTGCATGGTCAGCGTGTATTCCCGCACGCGCTGCGATGGACAGACAGACATCAGCACCCAGAGCCACACTGCCAGGACTGCCCTGTGGGCACGGCTCCCACCTCCCGGTCGAGGCCGCTGGCGATGACGCTGAGGGTGCCGGTGGCGCGGTTGACGGTGAACATGTGGGGATGGGGCTCTCGCGGCTCCTGGCTGAGGATGGAGTAGGCGATAACACCGTTGTAGGTCTCCACATCATCGTCAGCATCCGTGGCGTTCACCTGCATCACCGAAGTACCTGGGGGACAACGGGGGGTCTGTGTGAGCTGGGTGGGTGCGGAGGACGGGGCAGCCTCATCCCCGAGGACGCATCCTGCAGGACGCAGAGCTTCTCCCTGCAGCACAGCCCTACCTGGCAGCGCGCCTTCGGGCACGGAGCCTCGGAACACCTCCTGTGTGAACTGGGGCTTGTTGTCATTTTGGTCCGTCACCGTCACTATGATCTCCATCGGCTCCTCCACGGGTTTGCCATTCTCAGACACGGCATGGGAGTAGAGCTGCAGGGCAGAGGGGTGAGTGTGGAGACAGCACGGCACTGGTGTGAACCCAGCGCCCCGCAGCAGGACCCACATGGTACTTGTTGATGTGCTCCCGGTCCAGCGGCTGCGTCACCTTCATCCAGCCCGTCTCCTTCTCAATGGTGAAGATGCCCTCGGGGGGAGCATCCGCTCCCTGCCCAGTGATGCTGTAGAAAATCTTTGCCTCCCGGTCCCGGTTGGATTTGATCTGGGAGGAGATGCAGCGGTGCAGGGCTGTGCCTCCCCACTGCAGGGTGAGCAGCCCCCCCACGCACCCCTCAGCCACGGTACCCCAGTCTGGGTTTCAGATCCGTGCCCATGGCCGGCATTCCGCTGCCTTCAGTGCGCACAGCCATGGCCAGCCCTGAAATCCCACCCAGACACAGCATCACTGAAACCTCGGGGGCTCCTCCATACCTGAACCAAGTTTTTAGGGAAGGGACCCCTCTCATTCTCAGGAACTTTGATGGGAGGGATCACCCAATCCCTCTTCTGCCTCCTCAGAGCGGTTTGAGCGTGAGGGACATCAGGGACCTCCTGCAGGAAGGGGAGCAGTGATGGAGCGGCCGCACGCGGTGGGTTTGGGGACGGGGCTGCCGAGAGCGTTACCTGCAGGGAGCGCCTGCTCCGCATGGGGACCCGCGGGCTGCTGGCATCCCGGGGAGCCACGGGCAGCGCCCCGACGTGGGGCTCCTCGATGTCATCCAGCACCGCGCCGCGTCCTAAGGTCGCTGCAAGAGGCAAAGGGTCAGGGGGGCGGGAGGGGACGCAGCCCCCAGGAGCCGTCCTCAGGCCCACACGCCATCCGAACGCCCGCAGGGCTCCACGTGCTCGCAGCCCAGCTCCAGGGAGAGGGATTTGGGAAGGTCAGGGCCGCTCCCAGCACGGGGGCGGGCAGCAGCAGGAGCGCGCTTCGGCTTTGTTGCGGAGATTACGGGAAATTCCTGGGCACGCAGCGCCCTGCCCCGCGCCTCCCACCTCAGCGTGTCCCCGCCTCGGGGCTCCCGGCTCCGACCCACCCCCCCAGGGCAGCGACTCCACCATCGCAGGGTCCCACACCTGCGGCCACATTGCAGCCCCGACCCCCAGCCCGGTAGAGCTGCGGGCTTAGGGGATTAGCAGCGCTAAGCCGCTCCGAGCACACTGCTGAGAGGCTCCCGGGGGCTGGGGGAGATGGGAGTGGACGAGGAGAGCTGTGCCCGCGTGTCTCTGGGTGGGGGGAAATCCCTGGAGAGTTCCCTCATCCCCATACGGAGCTGGAGCCTGGAGAGGAGCGCCGGCGGCCCTTTATGGTGGGCGATAAGGAAGATGCTGGGGCCGGAAAGGCCGCAACCACATCATGGCTGAGACACGAGCCTCCGTGCCACGGGCAGCCTCCAGCCCTGGCTTTGGAGCTGAGCTGTGCTCCAGTACCAGCTCAGGGGAGAGAACCCCCCATTCTCGTACCCTCAGTGTTCTGGGACACTGTGCCCTCCGGCCGCGGGGCTGCACCCCCAGCCCAGCCCTGCCCTGGTGCCAGTCCCGCTGCCGACAGGAGCTGGGCCGTGGGCAGCGGCACGCAGCATCCGAGCGGGCTGAGGTCAGGGCCTGGCACGGAGAGAGCACTTACAGCGAAGTGCTTTGAGTGCTCCGCAGCCATTAGGCAGCACTGTCTGCGGCCGCGGTTCCCGAGCAGCTCCACTCCCCGGGGACGCCGACGAGTAAACACCGTGAGCGGTCCCACCGGCATCGGGACGAGTCGCTGCCCCTCCCCACCCGGATCAGAGAACGGAGCCCCGGGGCAGCCGCCTCCCATCGCCCGTCCGCCGCCGACCACCGACCCGAGGGGTACCGGTGCAGTCCAGGAGCTCCCGGCCTCTACCCTCCCCACGGCCGAACTAGAGGCAACGAGGGGACCCGAACGGCACCAGCAGCCCCCTCCCACGGCCCGGGGGATGCAGCCACCAAAAGCCCGCCGAGGGCCGCCGTTCGGAGCAGAGAGCAGCCAGGAAAGGACCGCTCCCACAACCCGGTGTGCGCGAGCAGCCCCCGCCCCGCGTCCCGACGGCATCGCCGGGCCCCCTTCCCCCATAGCGGTGGGGGGGCAAGATGGGAACCGCACATCGCACCAAGAGGAACTCCGTCGCTCCTGGGGCAGCCCGCCCTACCCACACGCGAGGTCCCGCACGGCGCGGCGGCACCTCCGGCCCAACGATGCTCCCCGCGCCCCGACGGCACCGCTTACCGGGAGCCGGGAGCGATCCGCGGCGCGGCCCCGGGGGGAAGCACGGCCGAGCCGGGGCGGCGGCGAGCAGCAGCAGGAGGAGGAGCGGGCAGAGCCCGGAGCGCGACCCGCACATGGCCCCGCCGCCACCGAGCGCCGCGCCGCGAACCCGCCCGTTTCAACGCGCCGCTCCAGGTGAGGCCGCGGCCGCGCAGGTACCGCCCGCTCCGCCCCGCCCCGACCCCGCCCCGCACCCGCCCCGCATCTCCGGGAGCTCCGCCCGCTGCCGCCGCGCGCCCCCCGGTGCTTCCGTGCGGCCCCGTGAGAAGCGCCCCGGGACCAAGGGTGCCTTTGGCAGTGCCCGTTTCTGGCACCCCCAGATCCTTTTCCACGGAGCTGCGTGCGGTCGGTATGACCGGCAGGACCCGGCTCTTGGCCGCGTTGGACCTCATCCCGTCGGTCTCTGCCCGGCGTTGTCCTCGAGCGGTGGTGCTCCTGCAGCCCCGTGCCTGTGTCCCAACCCCGGGCTGAGTGAGCGGCTCTGGCTGGTAAAGACAGATACAAAGAAGGCACGGAGACCCTCACCCTTTCCTCAGTAACATCGTTCCCTGGTGCACCCAGTGAAGGATGAGGGTTCACCTTGGCCCTTTTGCTGCCCAGTGCCCACGTGAGCCGAGCAGGGGAAGCGCTGCCAAGGTGAAAGTCCACAACGAGAGCCGTGTCGGGTCAGCACTCAAACGAGCGCCCAGCAGGGCTAAAGCCATGTCACCCATGTCTGCCCGGCTCTTCGCTCTGCCCAGGCACCTCCGTGATGACCGTGAGCGCCACGGACGCGGACGACGCGGTGAACACCGACAACGGCATCGTCAGCTACTCCATCGTCAGCCAGCAGCCGCCCAGCCCGCACCCCCAGATGTTCACCATCGACCCGGCCAAGGGCATCATCAGCGTGCTGGGCACGGGGCTGGACCGGGAGGTGGGCGCTCTCCTCGTGCCCCACGGCAGGCACAGAGCCCACACACAGAGGGGCGGCGGGAGCGGGACGCGCTGTGGGGACGCGGGGCCTCTGATGGCGTGACCTCATCTTGCAGACCACTCCCAACTACACGCTGATTGTCCAGGCCACGGACCAGGAGGGCAAGGGCCTGTCCAACACCGCCACGGCCGTCATTGAGGTCACAGATGCCAACACCCCCAGCACCGATGACATCCTGAAGACCAACAAGGTGAGTTGCAGCCCTCGTGGGCAGCCCTAGTGCAGATGAGGCTCTGGGCTGTTCCCCACGGCCCAGGAGGGAGCTGGGCTCCATCACGCGGGCAGCCACACCTCAGCACTCTGGAGGAGACAGGCAGGTTGAACAAGCACAGCTTGTCCAGGTGAGACCCCAGGGGCTCAGCCCTGCTCTGGCACACCAACATTCATCTGGGCTTGGGTCCACCAGCCCTGGGGCCGCAGTGCCGGGTGCTGTGGAGGCACCTGGGAGCACTGCCCAGTGCAGAGCCGCCTGCGCGGGCCGGCCCAGCTGGGGAGGAGCGTGCTGGGATAGCGGCACTCGGCCCGGCAGCTCCGTGGGGAGGGCGGCTGGGGCAGGGGATGGCATTCTGAGTGGCGGCATCGGACGTGGGGAGCTGGAAGAGCAGAATGGAGGTAAGGCAGGTAAGCCACCGGGTGCCCTCACGTGCCTCCAGCACTCCCAGCTCAGCCAGCAGCCAAGGCCCACAGCCGGTGCTGGGCTGGAAGCAGGCACCCCCCGACTCCAGCACCCTCAGGTCAGTGTCTCTCAGCCATCCCACCCCCTAGAGGGCAGGTGCGTTGCTCTGACCCTGCGCTGGCTGCCTGCCCCAAGCAGCCCGGGAGCACTTGCAGGGTTAATATCCACTGCACGTGACACAGTGACACTGCAGATCAGCGCAGGCCGGGTAGGCAACAGGGACATGGCTGCTTCCAGACAGCCAGCAGCATGCAGACGAGGGGCTGAGCAGGAAGCCTGGCAGGCAGCCCTCCTTCCCAGCAGAACGCCCACACCGGGGGTAGCAGCGGTGCCCACAGCATGCAGGCAGCTGTTGGGCTGCAGCACGGCCCTGTGCCCCAACAGCTGGCCTCACAGTGTGGGAGGGTGGTGGGCATCTGTGTCCTGCGGGCACAGCAGGGTGGTTGGGGAGGGAGAAGTGCCAGGAGGGACCCAGCTGCACAGACACCAGCTTGGGGTGCTTGGGGCACTGCCAGAAGGCTGGGGCCACTCAGGGATGGAGGGGTGCCCAGCTGTGGCAGTGCCTACCCTGGGCTCCCCACCGCCCCCACTATCCATGCTCGTGGGGCCAGTAGGCACAGCATGGTACTAAGGGGAGATGGATGGCATAGGCACAGCCCAGCGCTGCTCCCTTCCTGTGCCGTAGGCTCCAGACAAACCCGAGATGCTGAGCGGTTCCCTGACCACCCACGTGCTGAACACGGCCACAGGGCTGCCTGCTGCCGGCCTCGCTCTGTGCCTGGCACAGCTGGCAGAGCCAGGGGGACAGTGGACAGAGCTGGCACAGAGGTAGGAGAGTCAGCAGCAAGCAGGCAGTGCAGACTGCTGCCCACATCACCAACAGCAACTACTGGAGCCAGCCACGTTCTGTTTCCTTCTGCTCTCAGGTGGACAGATACAGATGGACGCTGTTTGCCCCTCCTGCCCCCTGGACAGGCTGAGGCTGGCACCTATAAACTGCGCTTCGAGACGGCAGCTTACTGGCAGAGCCTGGGGTACAGCAGCTTCTACCCCTTTGTGGAGGTACCACGGGCTGAGCATGGGGTCTGGGGTGCTGCTAGGAGCCAGCTCTGCTCAGAGCAGGAATGCAGGGGTCTGGGTGCTGTGTCCATGCTTGCAGGAGCTCACAACCCTCAACCATGCTCCTGCTGCACTGCCAGCACTGCTTGCAGGGATGCCCAGGCTACAGGTAGAGGAAGGGGCTGCTTTTGGCTGTGACTTGAACCTACCCACCGCCTCCCTGCTCTCCCCTAGGTTGTCTTCACCATCACTGACCCAGCCCAGAAGCTGCACGTCCCACTGCTGATCAGCCCCTACTCCTACACAACGTACAGGGGCAGTTAGGGCAAGGCTCCAGTGCCCCAGGGGAACCACTTGACTGATACCATTAAAGGACTCAAACAGCACCATCAGCCTCAAAAAATTCACTTTTCTTCGGGTCAGATGCTGGGAGCACGAGGCAGGCACAGCCCTGCTCCCTGCCCCAGGAGCACCCGAGCACAGGAGCACCCATAGGTGCTACATGGTGTCACGTGGGCATCGCCACAAGTCCCGCGGGGCCCTGCCCCACTGCCTGTCCCACCACAGGGCTCTCCAGGGGCTTGAATCCCAGGTTGTCCAGCGGGATCCCAAAGGACGTCAGCTTTGCCTCCATTGTCTGCAGCATGTCGTTGTGTGCCTGGAAGAAAAATGCTCCATGCTCTGGGCTGCCACCCTGAAACCCAGCCCGGCCCCTCCTTGCCCGAGACACAGGCACAGTGCAGACTCCTGAATGGTGGGGGCCCCTCAGACCTTGTTTCACAGGGAAATAAGGGAATGGGGAAAACTGCAGCCTGAGCCAGTATTCCAGGGCACAAAACAGAGCAGCCAGCCCCTGATCAAGGCCTGGAGGGAAAGCTTTTGCTCTTCCTTCTGCTCCCCCAGCCCCAGGAACACAGCATAACCCAAGCCCCTTCCTCACCTTGCAGGCTCGGGCCAGCTGGAATTGCAGGTCCTCAATAGTGGCGTTCTTGGAATTGAGCACATCCTGCAAGCGGGGACAGCTGTGTTAGACTTGAGCTGCTGGCACCAAGGGCACATCAGCCTGGGGCCATGCTGCAGGCCAGAGCATGTGGCACAGCACGCTGAGCAGATGCCTGCACTGGGACATGGCCGGGCAGACAGTCACCACCCTGGAGTCAGCGCTGCCAGGGACAGCCAGCCCCAGGCAGAGGCAAGGCGCAGGGACCTCCCAGACCATGAGCAGTAATGCCAGCAGAGCCCCACCATCAGCATCACCTGCCTCGCTGCAAGGGGGGGCGGATGGCAGCACCTGCTGCTGCAGCACCTCCCTGCCACCACAGCACTGGGGGAATTACAGGGAGAGTCTCCCCACGATGACGCCGGTGATTGGAGGCAGCTGAGCAAAGGAATTCAGGGACCCCAGCAGCTGGGGGAGAGCGCGACGCCTCGACGCCTTCCCAGGAATGTGTTTCCTAGTCTGCTGCTGTGGCACCTGCTTGTAGGTGACAAATCCACCGTCTTGTCACACAGACTGAAAGCCTGGGGCTGTTGTTGTGTTCATCGCTAGAGCTCCATGGCAAGGGGGATTCCACGAGCATCGCTGTCACCACCACTGAGGGGACCAGGAACAGAGCAGTACAAGCAGGAGGACAGAAGGCAAGCAGCAGCCACGCCGAGCAGGGAACCTGCATCCCTTTTGTCTGAAGCCACTGTGAAGCAAATGCTGCTTCTCCAGTTACTGCTGTTGCATGCCCTAGGAATGCGGGTCTCTGAGCCGCCGCACCGCGCCAACGCTCTCTGCATATGTATTTTTAGCATGCCAGACATTGCAGAGCCACTGGGAACCTGTCTGTGCTGCCTCTGCAGCCAGCGAGGCCAGGAGAGAGGCATGGCTGAGGTTCACCAGCAGTGGCTCCTTGCACACAGAGTGCCAGGGTCGCAGAGACAGGCCCTTCACACAGCCCACTGCTCAGCAGCACATCCAAATGCCACATGCCACCTGTCAGCACAGAGACCTGAGCAGTGCTGCCTGGGGCCACTCTCCTTGAAACAGACTCCACCTGAGCTACAGATCAGTGCCAAACGCCCACATGCCACTCTCGAGGGAGAGCCGGAGCGCCCTGCGGCACCGCAGTCATGGGTGTGCTGGGAACGACTGCCACAACAATCACAGCCCAGCTTTCTACATGGTGCAGCCAACAGCAGAGCAGGCTGAGGTGCTTTCTGCAGTGTTCTGAGGCTGGGGACTGGCCATACAGGCAGGTATGCAACAGTGCAGAGAAGACAGGGACTGTTTCCTGCCACACAGCCAGGCTCTGCCCTTCTGCTGCCCATGCACCTCAGGACCATGCTCACACCTCTAAGGTCTGCGTTTGTCTCAGAGCGACCACCAGAGCAGCCTCTGCCCTTCAAGAGGAGGGAAGGACAGCTTCCACAGGGCCCTGCAGCAGTGCACAGTACCTCCAGCTTGTGTGAGACCAAGGAGAGGGCGCCTGGATCCAGGTTGGAGGTTGCAAAGACCTCACTGAGCTCCACCTCCTTTTTCTCCAGGACATCGAGGAGTCCTTTCAGCTTGCGTTCCAGGAGCAAGTTCTTGAACCCAGTCTTCTGCTGCACTTCGTTAATGGCTTTGGTGAACTTCTGGTAGAGCTCATCTCGCTCTGCCTGCACCTGCTCCAAAACAGCACAGCTTCACACCATCCTCAGGACCCCTGGGGATACCTTGGCTTGCTGCAAGCCTCCCCCCGCCCTTCCTGAGCTCCTGAAGGGAGCAAAAGGGCCTTTGCTGTCCTCACACAGCAGCAGAGACACCGCGCTTTGCTCAGCCTGGCCCTGACTCCAAGCTGCTCTCTGCTGTGCCCCAAGGCACTATTTTGGATCACAGAGGGGCCCCAGCATGCAGGGGTCTCTCCTCCCCTCCTTGCAGCTGGCAAGAGTCCCTGGCTTACAGCTAGTTAATAAGTGTCCTAATTAGAATCTCTCCTCCAAAGCCTATTTCTGACTGCACTGAATATGTTGCTGCCTTAATGATGGATTGTTAACGAGGCCTCAGATCAGTGTTCATATTCCTGGGGATTTCTACGAATTGCAAATGAGCTCCGTTCTGCCTCAATAAATTTATCTGGGTTAGCTGTGAGGGAGAGGCTCAGTCTGGGAGAACTCAGTCAACAGAACATTCCTTGCAGAGGCTGCACGACAAGCAAGGAAGTGACATCCACACACTAGCAGAACGAGGGAAAGCCTGTCCCCATATTTCTCCCTGCTGTAGCGGGAGCCTCTCTATGCAGCTCCACTCCTGACCCAGTGCCACAGCCTCCCACCAGCAGGCCAGGAGGGAACCATCAGCACACGCATGGTTGCTCAGTGAAGTACAAGGCTGAGCCTGTCTGCTGAGCACGGGAGACGCCAAAACTGTGATAAGCTTTGTTGGAAGCAGCAGCTAATGCGCCGCTCTGGATTAGAGATTTGGAAAGCTTTCAGCTAGGCAAAGCACAGGCAGCCTCTGCTAAGTCCTGGTGCCTAAACCTCTGCATGGGGACAGGGTTTGGAGAGAGAAACAGGATGGCCAGACCCACCTGCAGTTCTCACCTTACTGAACCGCTGCTCCAGCACTTCGTGCTCCCACTGAAGGTCTTTCAGTTCCTTCTGGGTGATTTTCAGATGGGCTTTTGTATTCTGCAAGTAGGAAGCAACAGTTACAAGAGCATGGAGGTCTCTGGGAGATGGGTGTTCTGTGTTCTGGCAAATGGGGGAGCAACCAGCAGAAGACGGGGGTTGAGAGAACACAAACAACAGCCACACCAACACCTTCCCCTCTCTGCAGCAGGGTCTGCTCTTCTTTCTTGCTGCCAGAGTCCTGGAGTCCCGCCTGAGATCCTACACACACCCAACTAAGCTGAAAGGGACTCAAGGGCGTTTGCTCAGCAGTCTGGCCGAAGAACTCTTAGCTGAGCGGCAGAGGTCACTGCTGAGCAATGCCAGGAAACAGCCAAGGTGAATTAGAGAAGAACGCAAAAGGGCTCAGCAGAGCTGGCAGCTCACCATCAGAGCTTCCTTGTCCTTATCGTAGTGGGCCAACTTCTTCTGCAGCTCAAACACCTGCTCCTGGGCCTGCTGCAGGGATTCCTTCAGTTGCTTGTTCTGGAGCAGGACATCTGCCTTCTCCTTTTCCAAGTGAGTCTCTCTCTTCTTCATCTCCTCCATCTGTTCCTGTTCTTGGGAACACAATCGCTAGCTTCTAGAGGCAGAATCTGCCCAGCTTCTCAGGTCAGGACACCCTCCCAGTGCTGGCCCAGCAAACCACATCTCCCTGTGCACAAAAACTTTGCTCATGTAATGGTGTACAACTCCCAGGAAAACAGAAATGCCAGGACTTCCACCAGGGAACTGGCCAGATCTGGGGCAAGTCACTGGACCAGGTCCCTGGTGACACTACACACCAGGGCTGCAGCAGCGGGGTCAGAGAGCAGGCAGGCAGTACCTTCAGCAAGCTGATAAGTGCCAGGTTTTGGAAGGTGACATCGTCGTGGTAGTTCTTGAAGTCATGGAAGGCTTTCTCGTGGTTCTTCATCAGCTCATTGATCTGGCTGTTCTTCCTCTCCTCGACTTCATGGATCTCAGTCTTTCGGCGCAAGTCAAGCTCCTCCCGCAGCGCTTGCATCTTCTTGTTGTACTTGGCCTCCATCTCTGGGGAAGTGCACAGGGGGCTGAGTGAGACCCTCCCACAGAACCTACACCTATGCACCTGGGCTCTGTTAGCAAGCAGCAGCCCAACACGTGCCACTGCAGCATTGCTTGAGGACAAGATGCTCATTAATAGCCCCGCAGCAGCTGCCACCAGCACACGGAGCAGTTATGTTGGGACCATGGAGAGCAGAGCCCAGAAATAGCATCCTGGAAACAGGGCATGGAAACGCTCCAAGGCAGCCCGTGAGAACCTGATGCATCCCCTGAGGAGGGCACTGGAGCCAGGATTTAGATCTGCAAGGACTCCTCCAGCCACACAGCCAGCTGTGCTCAGCAGCACGGGCTGGCAGCAGCGAGAGCCCTGCCTCCACCCAGCAGCTCACACAACAGACGCCTGTCCAGGCTCCATTTTCACAGCACATTCAAGCCAGGCTGAGAGCTCAGCATGGACACCACTGTTAGCCATGCAGCCCAGCAGCTGTGAGCACAGAGAGCAAGAATCAGGGGGGGGAAAGTGGCCTCTTTCTGCTCCAGGAAGGCTAACAGCACAGAGGAGCTCCAAGGAGACTTCCTTAGCACGCAGACACAGAGGCTTTGAGCACATTCTGACCTTTCACTTGTCTCTCAAAGTCATTGCATAGCTGTGTGATCTCCTCCTCTTGTTTCTGTTAGGGAAAAGTTTAATGTTAGAGGCAGATAACTCAATCCTGAGGTGACTGCATCACTACACAGTGCAGGCTAGGAACAGACATTCTCCAGTTTCCGATGCCCACACAGGCCATGCCCAGCCACAGGGCTGGAGTCCAGCAGTCAGGTGCAGTCCCAGCAAGCAGATAAAACCTATGGTCAGCCACATTCCCATGGGAGCCTTTCCTGCTCCCTGGGAAAGGCTGCCACCACAGCATGAAGCTATTACCTAAGCCAGCAGTGGTGTATTAGGTTCTCCAGCTGTCCTCATGGCTTTGAGCCGTGAGGCTGACTCCTTCCTGCATGAGAATTTTCACAGGACTTGCCCCAGGAACCCATCCTCCCTGTTTGTGCACTCTTTCCAGTGCCTCTCAAGTACATCTGAGGGAAACCCCATTCCCCCTCACCAAGACACCAGAGGACGCAGTCTCCTGCTCGCACACCAGGGACCCACCACTTTCCTCTGCAGCAAAGGCACTTTGCACACAGATTCCAGTCCCTGCTGCCCTGCCAGACACCTACCAGGCGCAGGTTTTTCACCACCACCTCGTTGGCCAGCTCTTGCTCCTTCAGGTCCACTTTCAAGGAACGCATCTCTTTGCGCAGCTCTGTCTCCTGAGCCCAGTGATCCTTCTGGGCCCGTTTCATGGACAAGGTACCCTCTGCTTTCAGCTCGGTCAGGTTTTCCTGGTGTTCATACAACAAGTGCTTCACCTTCTGCTTGTAAACCTGAAAACAAGCCAGAGAACAGGTGAGAGGCATCAGCAGGAGCCAACAGGAAAACATCCAGAGTCTGGATATGAACTGAGACACTCCTGACTTGAACCCAGCCCAGCTGCTCCCTCTCTGTCTCCTTCCCTCGTCTCCTCAGACCTGCTGACTCTCTCCCAGGGCACGAGGAAAGGAAAAGGGCCACACATCTCGCCCTCCCACCTTGATCTCCACTTGGTGCCGCTCCTCCGCCTCCTCCATCTCCCTGTCCTTGTTACGCAGCTCCGCTTTCTTCTCCTCCAGCTGCCTTCGGGTGATCTCCCAGAAGGTGTGAATCTTGTCACGCTCCAGCTGGAAGTAGTTGCGCTCTTCCCGTTCCCGGTCCAGCTCCTTCCGGAGACGTGTGACGTGCTCCTGCAGCTGCAAAGCAAAGAAGATAAGAGATGGAGGGGGAGAAGGGGCGCAGCGCCCTTGAAAAGAGCCAGAGATATCAATTGTGAGCTCTGTTGCAAGGCTGGAGGACACGGTAGTCTTTATTGAGACAGAAAAGGGAGAATAGAAGGAGGGAAGTGCTCAGGATTTGACAAATCACCCCCGAAAAAGAGTGACAAGATCTCTTCCTATCATAAGCAGACAGGGTTCAGGCATTCCATCTCACATTCTCAGATGCTAAATAACACTGAGACATGCAAGATCTTATCTGCAGAGCAATGTGCCCCAGAACAGTGCCATCTCCTCCTGTGTTTGTAGGACATCCAGGGCAGCAGGCCCATGTTGGGCAGCTATGGCCTCTGCCTGTCCTCACTGACCCTGGGGGAGCCTCCCACCCCCAAAGCAGCACTATTTGGGATATGTTGAGAGTTCAGCAGGCTGCAAAGCAGAGCTGTAGACTGAGAGATCAGAGGGTTGAGCACAATAGCCTGCAGAGAAGAAGCTGCTAATACTAGAAAGGTAAAGGAACTCCAGTTACATGAGGGAACAGCCAGATGGAAGCAGAAAATGCAGGGAGAAACATGGATTCTAATAGAACTGGTCAACTCACTTCCTACAGGAAAACACCATAAAACATAAAGCACTTATCAAATAATATTCTCACCAGAGGTACTTTGCCAAAACATTTCCACACTTAAGAGGAGACAGCACAAGAGAACAGGATTATGGGATGAGGGGAAACGGATGAGGGCACAAGGCAGGAGAGCAGAGTGCCACAGGACAGCAGAAGCAGGGCAGGATGAGGTAGCCACTCTGTCCAGGGAAAGCTCTGAGCAGCCTCTGTGGGGCCACACACCCAGCCCTGATGTCAGCAATGAAATGAACACCGCCTGCTGTCCCCAGATCCCACTGCCACCTGTCATCCCTGGGGCCACAGCCAGGCACCATGGTGCAAGGGAACCACTCACCTGCTCCTTGCTCATCTCTTCCAGGGACACAGCATCCACCGCTGCTGGGGCTTTGCCCCCTTTCCCCTTTTTTCCAGCTTGCTTTTTGGGTGCCTGCAAAAAGAGAAGAAAACACGAGAGTTGTGAGCACTCGACTAGAAGCTGTGCTGCACAATGCCCACAGCCCGGCTGCACAGCATACCTGCTGCCATGGCGGGGTGAAACGGGTGCTGCATTCTGCCCAGGACCGGGATCAGGATCGGGACCGGGACCCCTCCCCAAGGCTCGCCCCACAGAGGGAAGGCCCAGGCACAGCGCAACCAACGCTTCCCTCAGCACCGAGCCACAGGTCCCCCCGGGCATCGCTCCCACTACCCAACCCAGGCCGGCTCCGGTTCCCAGACCTCCCACGCCCGGCTCCGGCCGCCAGGCTGAGGGCCGAAACCCCCGCGGCCCTGCCACGCCCAGCCCGGCCCCTCACCATGGCGGCGACGGCAGCTGCGCGGTCTCCCAGGCAACGCTCGGGCAGATCTCGCGAGAGTTGCGCGGGAGCAGACACGCCCCCTAGCAACGCGGGGCCCGGCCTTAGCAACGGGCGGCGGGGCCCGCTCCAGCCCGGCCTTCCAGCGAGCCCGGCCCTCCGCCACCCGGGGTCCCGGGCTGTTCCACAGTCACGCAGCGCCGCTCCGTCACCTCTCGGCCCGTGCTGTCCCGCTTACCCCCACCGGGGGCTCTCGAGGGGCCGCAGCGCAGCGGGCCGTGCCCCCGGCCCCACAGCGCCCGGCTCGTGCCCTCCGCGTCCCGCGGCCCCGATGCCGCTCTGCACCCCCGGACCACTTGCGGGCCTCCCCGCACCCCGGCATCCAGCCGCACCCCCGGCTCTACCCACGCCGCGGCTCCCAGCGCACCCCGGGTGCCTCCCGCCCCGCTGAGCCCCCCCCGAGCTCCCCTCCGGCCTCCGCCCCCGGCCCGCCCCCGGCCCCACCTCCGCCGCGGCGGGCAGGAGCGTGCGGGCTGCGGGCTGGCACCGGGCCCGCCCCGCCCCGCCCAGCACCGGCACCGGCACCGGCACCGGCTCGGCCCATGGAGGCTCCGGGAGCGGGCGGTACCGCAGGTGAGCGGGGATGGGATGGGTTGGAGTGAGGTGGCCGTCATCGCGATATCGGGCCGGGCAGGGCACGGGGGAATTATTGGGGGGGGGGGGGGGCGGGGGGTAGGTGTGCAAGGGGTGTGTGTGTGTGTGTGTGTGTGTGCAGGGGGTGTGTTCGAGCGGGGTGCATACGTGCGCAACGGGAGCATGAAGGTGGCTGTGAGGTGGGGACGTGGAGCGGGGCACATCTCACCCCCCGGCCC